GCCTTGTCTCCGTCACCATCAGCAACCGAAATCCTTTGCTCTGCAACACATGAGGCATTTAAAATCGAAGCCATGAGTAAAATACCTTTTTCTTCAAAGATGTGTCCGCCTGGATCAGCTCCTGTCGCTGCACTTTTTCTTCCAAATGTCGTTTCGTTATGTCTGGTTGACAGTCTGCCTGAAAAGCCAACACTCGTTAGTGAAGCGAATGAAGGGCAAATCTGTTCAACGTTTCAATTGGTGCTGCAGAAGGTAAAAACGTAAACATGAAAAAGCTTCAGACTAGCAACATGATCAGACAGGCATATTCCATGCATTATAGGGCAAAATTTCACACTGAATACGGTTCTTCATAAATTTGTTTGTACGTCGGCCATTAACTGTACACAGCTGTGCCGTTCATCAAAAGACAACTATGCTACTGGTCTGAACAGAATACGCACAGAGTAGTTTCAAACGAGAAGGAGAAAGCTAGTTTACAATCAAAGGACGTCAGCCTGCTACGCAAAATACCGGATAAAAGATATCAATAAGGTAAAAGAAAAAGACTACATCAAGATATATCGAAGGTGAAAACCAGTGAAAACCAGGGAAACTGAGGGCAAAAGAGTTATTCAAAGTTGTTAATATACCCGTTGTTCGTCTCGACAGAGGACATCTGCTGCATCAGATCAAGAAGTTCAAAGACTGGTAGAACTAAGGACACGCTGAGACATCCCGCATCAAGCAACTGCTGTTCTTGAATAAGCCTTGCACGCAAATTCTAAAGAGGAGGATACTAACGCCTCCTGAAGTTAATACGTCCACGCATTCGCCACCTCGTGCCTAAGATCAAAAAGGACCGGTCATTCAGAGAGACAAACCGTCGTACTTCAATTATTTCCCAAAATTAAGAAAACTATTAACTATACGAAATTTATCGTCTAAAGTAATCGTCAAAATCCGCAAACAAATAAGTTTATTAGAAACAGTTGAAAGCATTTAAGCCCATTTTCAAATGAATTCAATTTCTATGACCGCATTCAAATACGGACCGCGGAGGCAGACGAGCAGAGCAGCGCTTTCAACATTACTGATCCCGCGCCAGAGTCTCAGCTTCGGTAAAAGACAACCGGAGTCTACAGCAGAATCCGTTAATACAATTCCAGAAGGTAAATCTCAGCCGTCCACAGGGACATCCGCCGGTCGATTGGGCAAGTAGCAGTAGCTTTTAATCCTTTATTGGAGACATTCGAACCACTTGTCCAAACCATCACAGATGACCTATCAATCAAAAGAAGTAGAGGCTGCACACCAAGGCCGTCTCGGAATTTTGTACTTAGGACCATACCGAGACGTGAACAGCCAGTGAATCGTCTCAGAGAGCCCATTTCAGCCATTTGAACCGGGATCAAACCTTCAGTCATGGTCCATTACTCACGACCGTAAACCAGCATGGGGATGAAGGTCGACCTGAACACCGAGAGCTTAGTCTTCAGACTCAGTTCTGCTTTAGTCACAATGGTTTGGGCTAGTTCGCGCAGAATGCCACTAGCTACTGCAATCCGCCAGTCGATACATCTCGATCTTCTACGCTAATACATCGATCGACCTGGCTGCGCCTGACTATTCTAACAACACAAATAGGACAGGGGACAGAACGCAGATATGGCGGACACCAGTGCTAACGGTGGAAGGATTCGACCTAACAAGATCCACTATGATGCAGCACCTATCACCACATAGTGACTGAATGGCCGTAGCAGCTGGCCATCGATCCCATATGTTCGCAGACACGCCCACAGACTGTTGCGAGGGATCCAGTCAAAGGGTTTCTCTAGGTCCACAAGACACATATAAACAGGATGAACGAATTCTCACGATTTCTCAACAATCTGGCAGGGGACGAATATCGCTTCAGACGTGGTTTGGCAATACCTAAAGTTACACTGCTCCTCTAGAATTTTAGTCAGTTATCTCGCAAAACCTTTTTCTTGCAACTTTGAATTGACTTTACTAGAGAGGCTGAATAACGAAATGCTTCGATAATTAGAGTATATAGTCTCCCATATCCTCTCCTCATCCTATGGTCTCCCTTCTTGAACACGGGTACTACAACCACCGTCCTCTACTCCGATGGTGTCTTCCCCGTTGACAGTGCAGTTTCAAAGACACGTGCAAGCCAGCACATGCCCTGTTCGCCTAATGCTTTATGCATTTAAGGGCAGGCTTCATCCATTCCAGCATTTGCACTTTTCAAGCTTTAAACAACTTGTACGATTTCATCTACAGAAATAGTAATATCCGTTTCCTGCTGCTTTTCATACGAGTCTTCCTGCGGTTGCACGGGTTAAAGAGTTCCTCAGAATATTCCTTCCATCGCCGAAGAATGTCATCATCCTTGGAAAGAGGGTGTCCAGACGTGCCCTTCAGGACACTAAGACAACCGGTATGTTTCGCTCATGGGTGGCGGATGATCAGCCAAATTAGCTTGTTTGCAGTCTGGAAATTTGACTCAAACACTTCATCGAAATTATCCCAGGAATCAGCTCTGGCTTTCGCTGCCGCCTTGTGTGCTTCGATAAACACACGTGTGTAAAAGGCTCTTTGATTCCACGCCATTTCTTGAACGCTGCTTTTTTCTTTTTAACTGCCAGCTGTACCTCTCGTGTCGACCATGAAGATCTTTGCTGACCTCCAGGCGGCAGGCCAACCCGTTTATATCCGC